TCTTTTTCTTTCCAACTGCTTTTATTTTTGTATCAGAATATGAAGATTGAGCCTTCCATTCAGTATTGTCTTGTCATTTTGTGTTAATCCTCTTCTCCCTTTTCCTCCTCATCTTCTTTCTTTGTCTGATAGGGAAATTCAGATTGGTTTTAAGGAAAAATTGTTCACTTTGAGAGGAGTGAAGCACTAGGATGGGTTGCTCAGAGATTGTACAATGTCCACTCTTGGAGGTTTTCAGAGCTTGACCAGATAAGGCCATCAGCAACCCAGTCTGATTTTGATGTTGGCCCTTCCTTGAGCAAGTGGCTGGGCTACGTGACCTCCAGAAGTTCCTTCTAACCTAAATTATTCTATGGTTCTGTTTAATACCCAGTTCCCGTTCTGATTCAGCCATTCTGCTCTGTGTGTCATTAACTCCTCACTCCCCGTTGGAGTCACTCTCATTCATACCAGCGCAGAACAGGGGCGGCCTCCTGAAGGTCAATGAAGATACAGTGGGTTTTCTCGTGTGGGATTGAAATTAAGATGGAAATGGTAACCTCAGATGAGATTAGTAGGTGAAATGTGGGTATCTCTGAAATTACTTGGAATTTTTACCAGGATTTCGCTTGAGATCTCCTCAAAACTTCATTAAGTGCCAACTGAAGTTATCAGTTGAAGAGTTTGATGCATAATTATATCAGGATGATAAGTATTTAAAAAGTAAAGATCACCTTTTTTTCCCTTTCGGTTACAAATCCCATCCTCTATCAATCAGCCTTGAAGAGAGCTTTGGGGTATTTAGGATTTAGCAAGTCACCAACTGCCCCCGCTCTGCTGTTACGTGCTGGTTTCCTCATGCGGCTGTAACCACGTGAGGGAGTTAATGCTGCACAGAGCATCTGCTCCTTGGCCAAACGCCTCCCCAGCCCTGCAGCTCTCTGCCAAAGAGCTCCGGACGTGCGGAGGGGCATCTGCGAGCTCTGTGGGGTAGCCAATTTTCACGGGTTGGCCCGTATGCTAGCCAAAAACCGCCCTTTGTCAGAACAACGTTATTTTAATTGTGCTGAAAGAAAGCAAAACCGCACTCTGATTCACCGTATCAGTCTAGGGAATTTTCAACGATGATCTAGCTATTGTAGAGAAAGAAAAAAAAAAAAAAAAGACACTCCCAATTTATAGGAAAAAGAAATACAGGAATAGTTTTATGGGGTTGCTCTTTCAAGTCTGCCAAGGTAAGGTGATTTTTCTCCATCTCTCATATTTATCAGCAAGAAGTATCTCTCTTATGCAAACACTTCATTTCCCGTCAGGCTCTGTCAAAAGTAACGTCTACAAATCGGGCTACAGTAGTGGACTGAGGAAAGACTAAATATGAGCAACCAAAAGCCTTTTTTTGTCCCTTTCTACACAAGGCAGGATTCTAAAATCCAGATTTAACAGGACAGGCTTGCTCTCATATACTTTTTCTAGTGATTGCTGCTCTCCCTCTTCTGTAACCACATTGATTCTCTCTCCTCATACAGATCGTCCTTAAATAATGTAGGGGCTTGCTCTTTCAAATGTGAACAAGGTGGTGTGCCCTGCGGAGAGAATATAGGAACAGGAGATACTGTTGCTTAGCAGGGTTGAAGGTCTCTTCTCTTCCACTCCTCCTGCAGTACCCAAGCTGTAGATTACAAGTCAAATTTAATAGACAGATAATATTCACATGAGGAACTTAAAGCAATGCATCTGACTTCGAATCACCTAGGTTTCTGCTTCTGCAAAACTATCAGAAGTTCACGTCGCTCTTGTACCTGTGTCACTTCCTTACAGAGATCCAGAAATGTAAACCAAAGGAAGTTTTCTTGCTTTCTACCATTAGTTTACTGACGGAGTTGTTTTTATGGCTGTCTCAGCTGTTTGTCACGTACCCATCATTTATGGTGGAACTGCAAACAGTTTCCCACCTGTCTGTAATTAGCTTTTGCACACACACACACACACACACACACAAATCATGCAAAACAATTGTAGTCGTGATGAAAACAGCTTTGGATATTAAAGGTTAATGTGCCACATTGGTATCTAGTGTAAGCATGTTCGCCGAGATGAAATCGCACTAAGGAAGGTCCTCGACTGTTCAGCTTTACGAACTGCGTCTCTGAACTGGTCAACAGTAGTAGGTTAAGTTTACAGTAGTTAAGGTAGGACTATAAAAACAACCTGCAGTGAAAACCATCAGCTGGTGTTTGTTTGAAAAGATAAGAGATGGAGAAAAATACTCGGGCTGCTCATATATTGTCATGCTGTATTTGGGGATGCCTACCCATCCAAGCCCACAGAAAAGCAAGTGCCTGTCACCTGCGGGACTGACACTGGTGCAAAGATGGGACTGCAGATCACTGTTTCGTGTATTGGAGTCAGCCTCGCTCTTACAAAATTTCCTTTGGAGGCCGCAATTCCAGAGTGAATTCGGTGGGGCTTTAGTCCAAGGAGTGTATGGGGTCAGTTTTGTTTGTGCTTGGGGTGTGCTCTGCACTTTGCAGAACGTGGTATGCAGAAGTGGTTTGCGTGGTAGTTTCCTTGGAGAAGTGAAGTATTTGTGCTGGCGCTATTTGGTTTTCATATCTCTTGACATAAAAATGAGCGCAGCTCTCCGTATAGGAGAGCTGATGTCAGAGGTCCGTGGCGAAAGTGAACTGAAAATACACCTCTTGACTGGGAATCAGCCTCAGTCATGTGATCTTTTAAAACATGTTGATTTAGTGGTCAGTACCAGAAGTTTTACTTCCAACTCAGCCCTTCAAAACAGATGGATAGTGATCAAAAACTTGTCTTTTTGATCGAATGATGCCTCTTGAGAGGCCTGTAGGACATGGCATTCTGAAATGCCCCCCAGGAGCACAGTGAGTGGCTCTGGCCAGCCATGGGAGCTCAGGGGACAGAGCTGCAGCTGGAGACCGAGCCAAGGCTGTTCTGGGATTAAACAAAAAATGCCAGTGTCCAGCCGTGCAAGGCAGCACCTGGCACCAGCTGCATGAGAGCAAATAAATACCATAGTGTCTACACAGCTTTGCTTTTCTTTGTGTGTGTGTGAAAGTCTACAGTTCACCGACCTGTTTTGCAAAGTTGTGCTCTCTGTGAGCTTGTTCATCAACTTCGCCACTTCTTCTTTTAGCATACCCTCTGCAGAACCCCCCCGCGCTGTTTTGCTTTGCCCTATCAGTAGTTTCGATTTTATTTCCTGTGTGAAACTTCATGTGCTTAAAGTTTCTGTTCCATTTTTTTTTTTTCTTGAAGGGAAGAAAACAACAACAGTAAATTAAACCTCAGGCTGCTTAGGAGATCTCTGGTGGCTGAAGGCCTGTGGGCAGTGGGGCCCTGGCCGAGCGCTGTGGTCACCCAAGCACCATGGTGCAGCAGCAAGGGCCGTTGCTCCACCTTAGCTCCACGTCTTGAAAGCCTACAGCTCATTTCCATCACTGATTCATATTTTTGCTGATAATTACTGTCAGCATGAAGGAGAAGTGAAGACTGAAATCAAAAGTGGCTTACTCTTAAGTTTTAGAGCTCATGGCTCTGTCCTCAGGGCTTCGTAACCTTCTCAGACTTCATAGCCCTGTAATGGGGCTAACGCTGATCGCGTGCGTGCAGTCGCTGTTTTCCTGGTAGAAGTTGGCTGGCTGTGTTCCACCCATGGTGCTGTGTTGCACAACTCTTCCTTCCATTAACATATGCTAGAAAAAAAAATAATCAGGTGTTATGCTGATGGGGCACAGGAACAGAGAAGAAGAAACGGGATAGTTCTCCTCCGCCGATGGTGTTGGGATCTAGATTTGTGGTAATAAGGGACTGTATGAATGTTTAAACAGCTGCCATGGGTGGGATAGAAATCTGTCCTCGGTTATTGTTTAAATGAAGATGAATGGATAGAAGCAATAAAAACGCAACTCCGGCTTCGTGTGGAGGTGGTCTAGGCAGGTATGGCAGCAGCCTGGTTACAAAGCTGATCAAAGCCGTTAGTGGGTATGGCAAATTCCACTTGTTTTTCCAGAAACATGTCATCTTATACCTATATCTGGGTTTTACCTCGTTGGAAAACATACTGAAAAACTACAGTAATCTTTGATTAAGAGAGAGCCCTGAACACTAGCATTGGTAAACTCAGTAAATGTAAGGCTAAATTTAGAATTAGTTGAAAAAACAGGTGAGGGTGGAATGATTTATCCCCAAGAAAAAATCACTTTAAAATAATGAATTCATACATTTTATTCCATATTTGCTTCATTAAATGGCTACTTTATTGTTTCTCTTCCCCACACTGGGGCACTGCTCAGTTATTGTAGCACGGAGATTGCTGTCTGACACCAACATGCGCTGTAAGTGCCTTGCAGACGTGTCACATAGGATCAATACGTTATTAATCCCATGCAAAAAATTCAATAGGTACAGTGCGCACCACTGATGATTCAAGTTCATAAGCTTTGTGGGCTTTAAGGTTTTTGCTTTTTTATAGCA